GAAGGAGCCAGCATTGATTAATTGCAAGGGTATACTATTACTCCATGACAATGTTAGGCCTCATGGTGGCTGGCCAGAGATATCATTCAGCAACTTAGCTGTTAGACACTGTGCCATCCACTTCACTCACAAGTATTTGTGTTAACAGATTATCACCTCTTCCATTCTCTGGACAACCACATTTGTATGAAATCCTTTGCAAATGAGGTAGACTTGTGGCAGGCACTCACAGACTTCTTTGCATCAAAGTCACCTGATTTATACCACCAGAGAATATTGCAGCTGGAGACATATTGGCAAAAGGTTCTGAATGCTGATAACTTTGAGGACTAACAGTAGATCAAATTTGCTGTATACTTTTTACCCCTAATAAATCAAAAATTGCAAGGACTATTTTGCTTGTACAACTCCAGCACATCAGATTCCATACCATACAGTGTAGCTTTTGTAGAAGGGAAAACAGCTTACCTTCTGGAACAAAATGCACTATTGCATTTCTCTTGTGGAAAAATATGTGACAAAAAATATGTCTGATCCAAAAGCAGCCATTGAAGAACTCTATCTTGAAGATTTTGCAAGATGAATTTGTTGCTTATGCAACTCAATAAAATGAGCATGAGCTAGTGAACATCAGACAGTGAATTGTGACTCATACTCCAGACAGCCATACTTTTTTTTCAACTACAGCTTTGAATGTGTCAAATTCAATCTGAACCACAAGTGAAACTCTTGTATTCAACCAAAAATGGAATATTGTAGCCATGTCTGGGATGGAGCTGCTCAAGTCTCACTTTCCAGCCTTGAAAGATTACAAAATTGTTTATATCAACTTGTGAGTGATAGTTGTTCCTCTCTGCAACAACTTTTTCCATAGATGCAACATTGCAAGTCTGTTGGTACTGATGATATTTTCATGGTAAATGTTCAAATGAACTATGTTCTATAGTTTGACCAGTTCAGATCTTTATAGTTAGGACATGCATTGTAACTTCCACAGAGTCAAATCATCCTCATTTTCCACATGTTACAAATGTAAGATATTAAACTCAGTATTTTTCTAAAGAACTGACACTTTGTGAAAAACTTGTTCATGGTTGCTTCCCTGAATATTTTAATCTTGACCTCTTTAAAGGGATGGGTCAAGAGTTATCTTTCCACCTTATCCTCATAGTTTATTTCTTATCACCTTTTTATCCGTTTGTATCACACTTCATTCAACATTACCATTTTGTTAACTACAAACTTCTACTTTGAGTGGCTCAAGCCACCATGTCTTCAATAACTGTGTGCATTATATATATATATATATATATATATATATATATACACACTAAATATATGAAAATCATTCAGGCAGAGCTACAGGTTACTTTTTTTTTCCCCCCATGTGTCCCTTTATGGTAGACAATTTGTAAATAAATGCAAGGTAATGCAGTAAGTTGGTTATAAACTGTAAGTCAATCCATTTAAAAACAACAAATAACAAAAAAAATTGTTGCAAATATATTAACATTTATTTATGCGAGATGTCATAGCAAAAGGTTTCAAAAAGAAACTCTCCATATTTTTAATTTCTATAAACAACAGGAGTTTTACATTGGCAGCCCCTTTAATAACTCCCTGGGAAGGATCTAATCTTAAAAACTATTTTGCTAGGTCTCCATAATTAATAAACAATATAACAGGTTCATACTGTAGATATTTTCAACAGAATTGTACATTACAATATTGGCTATAATAAAAAAAATTCATAGTCACTTGTCAGGAAAATGATCTTTATATAATTTTCAGTTTGAGGATAGATGTTCCAACCACACTGCTTGTTCTGCATACAAAGTTTGTATTGTTTAAGACTTATCTGTTTTATTGAAAACACACACACACACACATATATATATATATATATATATATATATGTGTGCGTGTGTGTGAATGAGTAGGCCCAGTCAACTTTATTTTTAATAAGATATTCCAGCAAATCAGACTTGATTGCAATATGTATTGTTGCCTGCAACTATTGGTTTATCTAGTGTTTCAGTGTTATTGATTTTCACTGGGACCAGATGGACACTTCACTTTGCAGACTAGCTGCATTTAATGTAGGCGGATGTGCTTTATGCTTGACGTCATCACACTAACATGTCTAACTGGTCAATGATGAAGCAGAAATGTTGACCAAAACTGCAGAGTTTAAAGATTTTTCTAGTTGAGAAGCATAAATGATTCTTGAACCACTAGACATTAAAGCAGGGATAGTCTATAGACACAATTTGGCCGAAGGCGCCCAATTTTAAATGTCACTTCCTATGTTATAACAATACATCAAAGATTGTAATTTATCTTAGTTTCTTTTTAAAAAAACAAAATGGTCAGTACTGTAAACTTAATGCTTTATACTTAAGACAAAAGGAAAATCTGTAGTTTTCCTTTAAAGTAAACTTCAATAAGATCTTCAGAAATCCTTAGCCTACTCAAAGAAAGAGAGAAAAAAAAAAGGAAAAAAAGGCTAACTCAAGCTTCTAAATTCTAAAGGAAATTCATAAATTCCAAGAAGCTACGATTTTTTCAGAAAATTATTTCAAATATTGAATTAGCCAAGTCTTTTTTTTACGCAAGCATATAAAAAATAAAAAAAAAAAAAAAGTAGTTTCTTAAAACAAATTCTGACAACTGATGCAAAGTGGATACTTTACAACATAGATTGTGGAGTAAGAAAGATGAATTCCCACTAAGTATATCAAAATATCAGTTTTCTTCAAAAGAAGATAATGCTGTGTATATAGTGGAATTGGGAGTCTTCTATGATAAGCACTTTTAAGAGAACCAAACAATTCATTCAGATAAGTACTGCTCCCAATTCAACCAACTGAAGGCAGCAATCAATAAAAAGATATATTCAGAAATTCCTGATAAAATCCAAAGAATTTGCAATGTTATTAGTCCTGATAATATAAGAGAATCACTTTTCCCCCCAATGTAATGTAGCTTCCCTGTGCCTTTGATATAAATACTTTCATGGTAATTGTTCTGATGAACTTTCCTCTTTAGTACCTAGACTTTATGAATACTAGATTGGCGGAAAGCTCTCATCATTTTACAGCTGAAATGGCTAAATGTAACGCTGTGCTAATAGTTTCTTTTCTCACCAAGCAAATATTTGCTTCATCCACTATATTCAGATTTAATTCTTGAATTATCATAAGTGAAAGAAAGAAAGAAAGAAAGAAAAAAAAAAAATCAATTCCCAGATAAACTGTAAAGGGTGCACACACACAGAGAGAGAGAGATCTGAAAGATGACAGCTGAACTGACAAATGCTATTCAATGAAGTTAATTTGGGAAAAATAAGTTTTAAATAAAATGAACTGTTTTGGCTATACAAGTTCACTTCATTTGTTTAGTTGTGGTATAATGGTTAGACAAACTTGTCTTGCAACCAATTATTACTCTAATAAACAGTATCCTCACAAAGGGTTTTGTATATTTGGTCTTATGGTAAATTAAGCTAAACATAGGAAATATCTATAAAAAGTTTACCTGAGCTCTGCAGAATAATGATCAAGTATAAGAGTCAAAAGAACTTTCAGAGTATAATCAGAATACCATTTTACTTTTTATGTAACAGAGGATTAAAAAGGGACATATTTGTTCTGTTATTTAAAGAATTAAGAACAATTTATCCAAATGGTTTATACCAAGACAGCTCCCATAACAATGACATTTAGAAAAGAATTGTATTGACCTCAGAGCCATATCAGCCATTTTTATTTAAGGTTAAAATATTTTTGTTTAAAAAAAAAAAAACTCTATTGTAACATTTAAAATAGAAATATTAAATTAGATTTTTTTTGTTTAAAGTTATGTCTTTAAGCAAAAAGGAAATGACTTCAACTAATAATTTACAGAATTGATCTGCTTATTACAATTTCCTTTTGTTATCTCTTTGCATATGACCTTGCAAAATTCTTGAGCATTTCACTTATGCCAATAGGCTATTAAAGGATTTTCATTGAAAGAGAATGTTATTGAAGGATGCATTATGGTTTAAACTTGTCAGAGGCAACACATTTTGTTCAAATAAAGATCCTTTTGCATTTTATGCAAGCATTTCTATTTTTCTTTGAATGCACTGCCTTTTTACACAAATTTTCAGTTATGCCCAAAATTCAAAATGAAGTTTCACTTTTCTTCAAGCAGACCTAGCAGAGCCAGTTACAGCAGAGAGCAAGTTCATGTGAGTCATGTATTTAACCATGACATTTTTCAATGTGTTTTCTGCATAACCTAAAATATGGCATGCCATCTAATTGCTTTGGTTACAAAAATGAGTTTAAAAATTTACATAAAATCACATTAAAGCAAGCAAAATAACTTTTCTGGAAATATTTATTTAAAATAATTATTTTGGATTATACAAACATGCAGATTTGTAATATTTTATGTTCTGATAAAAACAGCTTATCACATGCCAACTTTTTTTCTGGGGGAAATAAATTATAGTCATAGAACCTTAAGGTTGTCTCTTTCTTAATTATATATATATATATATATATATATATAAGCTGGCAAGTCATGATGTTTCTAAATACACTTATGCAAAATACAGGCATTGAAAATCTGAAGAAACTCGATACATCTATGATGGGTAGGGACAACTGGAGACCTTGCTGAAATGTTGTGAGTGGAGATTCAGCCAAACTGTGTTTCTTTATAGATGCAACATGGATTCATAGTGATTCTTTTTATATAATCTAATATCTTTTTGGCATTTACTAGGCCTAATTAAGCATTATACAAGAATAAATTAGGAGACAGCAGTAGAGGATGAAGAATTTGTTTTAGAATTAAAGAATTTTTTCTTAAAAATATTAGATACATTTTCTCCTAAAGTCAAGAAAAGGACAAGTGGAGAAGGAAAGAAAAAAATTGAGAGGTAATCACAAAACATCTGAAATAGTAAATGTCTGAGGCTTGAAATTCTAAAGAAATGAATTTCTTACCTTCACTTGGTGAAGTATAAAGTTTTTTGCACATTTCTAAAACACCACCATATTCTTTTCCTATAGTTTCTATAGCGTCAGTGCCCTTGTACTGCATCAAGTCACGCAGCTCTCCAAGTTTCAACCCATATTCAGCTGGCTGGCCATCAGCTTCATCTCCCATGATTGCAGCTAGTTATGTCAAGCCCAACACTAGGATCCTGAAATGATTAAAGATTGAATTGCAATGTACTATAAAGAAGAGTAGTCTTTCTTTACACAAGTTACATGGATTTAAATATCACACACACACACAGAGAGCAGGTAATTGAGAACAAATTGAAATTTAAAGACAAACAAAGGATATTTATTAAAATAATGAAAAAACAAACAAAACAAAAACAATCAATTTGCAAACATTTGTACAAATGTTCAACTTAGGAAGAAAAGAATTATTCAATCAAACTGTCTTTAGCCTTGATGCAACCTTACAAAAAGGTTCTGTACACCCAAATTAGGTGATAGCCTTTCATATTGGCTATCACATTCACAAATAATGGCCTTCAACTAGTTGTTGGTATTGTGGATTGCTTGAAGGCTAGTCTCTTTTGACAAAACCTGAAGTACCCAAGAGATTCAAATCAGAAGAGATTGGGTCAGAAATTGGGAGTGATAGGATTACAAAAATTTTTAACCAGTCACTGCTGGGTTATGTGAGAAGCAGCAAAGTCTTTCTGGAACACATATGGCCAGGTTGATTCAGGTCTTGAACACCATTTTCAGCATTTGAATATAAGCAACAGCACTGGCCATGTGGCTCTGTAGAAAAAGAGTGGGACATGGTCCTTCCTTGTTGCTCATGATACTAGAATTATCATAGACAATATCAATTTTGAGATACTCATGATGATGCTCACTGTGTCCTGGATCTGCTGAACAAACTAGACTGTCCTTATGTCAGATTAGTTACCCCCCCCCACACACACACACCTCTGCCAGAGACATCAAACTCATTCCTGATACTGAACATCAAGGACCTGGTCTCTTTTAGTTACCGTGATTGACAGTGCCACATTATGCTTTTCCATTTTAGATTGGAAGCTGCTATGTGAATTGCTAGTGTTACATTCAGAAGAGAAATGAGATTATTAAAATTTGGCACATGACATTACATCACGGACTGCTAGTGTTTTCAAATATTTAGTGAACCATATAACACACACAAATATGCATTTAAAAGGTAACTTAATTTACCAAAATAAGATTTTTATACATATTCTAATACTTCAATACATTTCTGGAAGAAAACAAGTTAACTTAATCAGTCCTGAAAGTTAGCAGGAAGGGAGAGGGGTGGGGGGAGAAAAAAAAAGGGAAAAGACATACACACAAAGGAGAAAAATTAGGATGGTTATAAAATAATTTTAACCAAAAGACCAGGAAGAAAAACTTAATTCAAACAAGTGCAGATTATATGTTATATGTAAATGTATATCTTAAACACAAAACAATATGAAAGCATAAACATTTTTTTAATCTACTAGAAAAAGGCCAACTCTTTACTACATTAATACAGATCAATCTCACAAGCTTAATAAAACTGCTAGTTTTTACATACTGGAAAAACAATTTCACAATATTTGTTAGGCACAGATACCAGAAAAAAAATAATCTTTGTACAACTGGATAAAATGCTTTAAAAGCCATTATTTCTATAAAATGATTTGTGTAGTAAGGAATATATATATGTATTCCTGACAAAGACTGACCAAAAATTAATAGAAATGAATCTTATTTGTTAGGAAAATATCTGTATCATACCAACCTAAGATTTGCTCTTCATTTGAGAGTTCTAACCCACTGGTGTCTGCTGTCATCTACTTTTCAATTTGCTGACTTTTACACTAACACTGTTTAATGATTAGAGTAAAACAGATTCAACAATAGTTCAAGATTTAATAAAAAGTTATCTATGTGCTTTTTTACTGAACTCTGTAGACAGATTATTTCAATTCATTATCAAGTTATTTCTGTTCTTAAAAAAAAATACAAAATAAAAAAAAAATAAAAAAAAATCACAAGATGATGATAGCAACAGCTATTTACCCAATATGAAAGCAAGATTGAACTAGATTGTACTTTAAACCAACTTCAAGAGAAATTGCTATTCCGAACTAAAAGATTGAGATAAAGGTCTTATCATTGGGAACAAATGTTTATATGTTAATGTAATTGATAAGAAAAATATCAGCAGTCAAGTTTTGATGTCAGTTATAATTAACTGCTGAAACAAGGAACTAATTATAGAACAATTAAAACTTTGAACACTGCATTGGAGAAGAAAGAAAGAAAAAAAAAAAAAACTGCAAAGATTGTGCAAAAGCTCTTTGCCCATATATGGCTTCAATCTGATAAGTTTTAATTGTAAGATTTCTCATCACAGATTTATCTGATGACAAAACAGGTTATTGTCCAAAGTTGTCAATTTCAGAGATATATAAACAAAAAGAGAGTGCTGAAAAGTTTTTGGCTTGGCCCACTTATCAAAAAATAGCACTATTTTTTTTACTGAAAATATTTCTTAGCCAACCAAAGAACTTCCAGTACCCCTAACCAATGTATGTGTATACACATGGACACAAAGGCAACATCCTGAACGTTTCAATTTATTCAAGATAGAAAGAATTACAGTAAATAAGATGATATAGATCAATATGTATAGAGATTTAAAAATATGAAATGCATCAAAACATACTCAAACCACATTTTAATAGACAGCATATCCTCTTTAGGGATTAATCCAAGCCTGTACTCTCAGATGTAGAGGATTTTACAGATCGTGAATACCATCCTGTAATATATGCCTCTTGCACATGTTCATGGACTATGGCAATAGTTATAGGTGGGCTAGCTGATCGAGTCAGGTGTTATTCCATCATATTTAATGGAGAAAAGATCTGGCATTTGTGCTGAGCCAGGAAGTTGCCAAATATTTTGCAAAGCATTTTGAGTAGGTGAAATAACACATTGTCTTCCTGATGCAGGAATGGCAGAAAAATGGAGTGAACAAGGTTCTGGACACATGGTGGTGGTCAATTTTCTTTCCACAAATACCAAAGGTGAGTTAGAGTTGTAGCATGGTATCTGACACCATAAAGTGTTTGTCTATGTCTATATTTCTGAAATATAGTATTATGTACACTATTTACATTATTTGGACTATTGTCTGAATCTTTGTTGCCATATTTATCACAATGTTTCGGCTGCTGTACACTCCGGTCTTCTTCAGGTGGTTGGAATGTCAAACTGAACCCTTTATTTCACTCGCCGGGATAGACTGTTCTAGTTCCACGTGCCATGTCTAATGGATGTCAGTTATCAGTTATCTCCTGTTAATTCCCCTCTCCAAGTTCTCCACTGCCTTAAACTTAAGGACACATGGCACAGTGGATAAAGGCGTTGGTTAGATCCAGTGACAGGACCCAAAGAATTGTGAGTTCAATACCTGGTTAAGGCAGTGGAGAACTTGGAGAGGTGAATTAACAGGAGATAACTGACATCTATTAGACGTAGCATGTGGAACTAGAACAGTCTACTCCAGCGAGTGAAATAAGATGTTGCTCCTCAAGTTGACATCCAACACACAAATGATTATTTGTACTAAGGCAGAAACTATTTTCAGCACCCCACTAAGATCTGCATGGTAATATTGTAGCATAAGTTAGTTTGGCTAGAGGCACATACGCCCATAGTCCAGTTGCTAGTAAACAATTCCCAATAGTCTATGCTGATAGACTGGGGCCTGGTTTGTGGGTACTGCGCAGTCTGTCACTAACGCCTTTACAATGTGTTGATCTTATCAAGTGCCAGTACTACACTAACAAAGAACCTAGTCTACAATCATAAAAATGTTTATCCATTGATACATCATACTTAATATGTGCAGCAATTCACTGAAAACACTTTTCAAATGGCTTTTAAATGAATAAAATGAACACATATCTCAGAGGCATAATGCCTACATGCATGGGACTGTCTCCACACTGAAACCAGTCTGTGTCTATGTCACAAAATGGCCACATCCTTTGAGAATTTCATAATACTTATTACATGGATTGTATCCAAGTAGAATAAAAATGATAATCTCACAGAATGTTGAAATTGGCTTCATCCTCCAGATTATTGCAGTTTCATTTTCTGTCAGTTTATATATATTTAATATACCAATTGTATATAGTTATAATAAAGTGTATAAAGGTGAAAAGAAACTTCACATAATGGAAGAATACAATATTTGATAAAATATTAAGAAACTGTTCATACATGAAAAAAATTGTAATAATACAGATAAAATATGCTGCCATGTCACGCACACACACACACACATATATATATATATATATATATATAAAAAATGTTACTTGTATCTTGTACATGTCAGCTGATTGACAAATTGATAGCCATATTGTATTAGAACAAATGTACTGTTATAAAGTGAACTATTTAATGTTATTTACTTTTAGGCAAGTTTAAATATGAAATCAAAAATTCAGTCTTCAGGCATGCTTCTTTTTACCTGAGGTCTACTAACAAGTGTTAGTAATTTGTTATTTTCAATATATTAAAACACAAAAGTCTTTTTCTCTTCTGAATTATAAAGGAAAATATAGTAAAGACAAATTACAGAAATTCTCAAACTTTATGAGTCTTAAGTTCAAATTTCTTAAGTTCCATGTTCCTTTAAGACATTGGCAATCAGGACTCTTTACAGCTTTCCTTTTTTTTTAATGTTTGTAAAATATATATTTGCTATGACTGTTATTGGGAAATATTGTGGAGTAGTTGCCTATTGCTTTTTCAACAGGCAGGGATTCAGACTTATCTTTTTCCACATTGGTTGCCAATCAATGTTTTAGAGAGCAGTCTTCTCTACTATTACATATTAGGAGAAGAGAAGAGATGAATTCAGATTTTTCCCAATGGCATTATTCAACTGGAATTCTGCTTACCAATGCCATTTTCTAAATAGTGAAATGTTAGTTTGTATACACCTTTTAAATTTCCGTCATTTGTCTATTTGTTTGGAAATTTTTTATCTTGTTTTGTGTTTTTCCAAAATTTAGACATCAAATAGTGTTATTGTTGCTGTTGAGTTAAGAAAAGCTTAAATTGTGAAAATTTTAGCTCTGAGCATAAGTGACAGCAATTCAAAAGTTTAGCA